TTTTTGCATGGCTAGTCAAAGATAACAATCGAAAGAATGTGCATGCATTCAGATATAGTGTCGTTTTGAATATGATAGTGATCGATTGAGTCATGCTTTCCTTTGTGTTTAGCAAGCACCCCCGTATTTTTTTTTCAAAACAAAATTGTGCATACACACATTAGGCTATTCATTGATCAAAAATGCATGGCTTTCGATTGTACAGTAACCAATAATAATAATAGAAAGAATGCATATACATTGAGATATGCTGTCATTTCGAATACGATAGTGATCGATTGACGCATACTTTCGTTTGTTTAGCAAGCAAGTATCCCCGTATTTTTTTTTCAAAGCAAAATTGCGTATGCACACTTCAGACTACCCATTCGTTGAAAAACTTGAACGATTTTGATTTCGTGGTACCCATGTAAAAATTTCTCTCTTGAAAAATTTGATTAAAAATCGAATAAAATACCACGATTTTAATCAGATTTTGAACGAATTTTTTAGGCTTCTCGGAGGATTTTATTTCATTTTAATGTTTTCTAATCTATTTTAATTGATTTAGGTTCATTAATCGATTAAAATAGATTAAAAAACGTTAAAATCGAATAAAATCCGTCTTCAAACCTAAAATGTGCGATTAAAATCTGATTAAAATCATAGTATTTTAACCGATCATTACTCAAATTTTTAATCAAATTTCTATCCAAAAATTTTTACATGGATAGTCAAAGATAACAATGGAAAGAATGTACATTCATTGAGATATGCTGTCATCTTGAATATGATAGTGATCGATTCAGGCATGCTTTCGTTGGTTTGGCAAGTACTCCCGTGCTTTCTTTCAAAGCGAAATTCCGCATACACGCATTAGACTAAAAAATTAATTTATGTTGTACAGTTTATTTAAACAATTTTAGAGCCAGTTCACGTAAGCCACGACCGACGCCGAGAGAACCTGGTTAATTGTGGTCCTGAGGTTTTGATCAATTTAAGGTATGTAATAGAGGGAAACCGCTTATGAACTTTGCTGCAAGTCGTTTTTGAACAATATTGAAGCGTTGATTTTGAAGAAATTTTTTGCAAGCCGTAAAAATTTAGACTCTGAAAATAGGGGATATTGCGGACACGATATCTCGAGATCGATGAAACCGATTGAGCGGAAGCTTTTCTGGAATGCATACACCAGTCAGCTCTAGGCATCAACATATTTTTAGCTTAAGCGGTGGTGCCCTTGATATTCTCTGGATTTCCCTTATAGAGGCAAAAATCACTATTTTTGGTAACAAGTAATGCTCATCCACAGATTCACTAGTCCTCTTCTGAAAGAGTAGAGATGCATTTTGAGAAAAAGAATTGGCCAAAAATTAGAAAAATATCAACTTTCGCCTCAAGTGATTTACAGAGCTGAACTTTTCAGGATAAACTCCACGGTCAAATGCTATCCGACAGCGCAAAGAAAAAGACTTAACAATGTAAACTGTAAGAAATAGAAATCACAACTGTTATCTCACTATCTCGACATAAAATTGTGTCCAGACGCCAATCTGAATGAGATAAGATTACACAGACAATTTCAGCTCTCTACATTTTATCTTTCTGAAGATATTGCTTCATTAATGTTCATTTTTTAGCTATTTTTTGATCTAAAATTCTCTTGGAAGTCAAAAAATCAAATTCAATATTTTTCTTGGGAGTGAGAGTATGAAGATGTGATACTTTCTCACACGCACCAACCCATCCTCATCCTCAAAGTAGAAAAGTACGAAAAAAGAAACAGTTTTCCAGATGTTTTTTCGACTAGTTCTATCGTGTCTCTGCAAGAAATACGATTAAGCAAACGACTTTTCATTGTACCTTTCTTCAAAGATATACTACGCTCGGATATACTTACTGGTACCTTGCTCACAACAAACAGTCAACTCTTCTTTGCTATAATTGGTGTTAAGTCATCTTGAAACAAGCCGGTAAGTCACAGCACGAATATTTCTCAATGTTAGCTGATACCTATCTAACAACGGGTGGACCATATTAAATGGAACACTTTTGCTTTCAGTTTTTGACGCGTTTAAACATCGTGTTAAAATCTGGTTCTGTGCTCATTTGATGGAAAATTGATTGCTCTACAAAGCTGTCGACAGAAAACCTAAAAGATGAACATCTATTACATCGTCCAAATACGATCACTTATTTTTTGCAGACGTTCAGCAATTGTTCAGAGCCTATGATAAACAAGTCCGATGCTAAAAGAAAAGTATTTAACATTATTTGAATACAGAATTTTGTGCTCGATACCTCCATGACGTTTTCAAAGTTTCTAGCACTATCATTCAGAAGAAAAAAGCTTGAAAGCAATACCTATTCGTATTTTTTAATGGACTTTTGAAAATTAGGCATTGCAAATCCAAACGGAGTCTATGAGACGTTTATTCGCATTCCGTTGGATGTAGAATTGAATTTGGAACAACATGGTGTACCTGTTACGTTTAACAGTGAAAACGTTTAGATTGTTTCGAATTAAAAAAGAACAATGCCATAGATGTGTCAGAAAATGAATTTTGTCGGTGTTGTCATATTTTTTAGTTCAAAAGCTTGTCTTCCAAATACTTGTTCAAAAATTCTGAAATATACATCAAAAGATGCAGAACTTTATGGAAATTTTGTGTAGTGTTTTTGAAATTTTAGCAGAACTATTATTAAAAACTTTTCATCATTTTTTCGTTTTTTTGTTCGTCACAGATAAGACAATGAGTAGACGTCCATCTTTTAAGTATTTCGTCGACAAGAAAAATTGATTTGAAAAACAAAGTCGACAGTTTTGTAGAGCAATCAATTCTCTATAGAATAAGCATAGAGATGAATTTTAAAACGATTTTTAAATGCGTTAAAAGCTGAAAACAAAAGTGTCCTGTTTAATCAGACCCACCTGTTAGACACTCCGTTATCAACACGCTTACAGCACAGTTATCTTTTAAATCTTTATTCTCCATTGTCAGAAACAAGAATAATGTGGCTCATATTTCTTTTTGTACTCATTTGTTCGTTTCAACATATTTATGCCAAACAATCACTTACTGCTCAGACAAAATATGGTAATGTGCTAGGGTACAAAACAGATTTGGCTCGGGTATTCTACGGTATTCCATTTGCTCATCCACCAATCGGTCCTTTGAGGTAATTATGCGATTCTATATATCTCGCTATAATTATGCGTGTAGATGGAAACCTCCGATACCTATCAATAAATGGGCTCCATTAACGATTAATGCCACCCAAATTCCACCGGCCTGTCCGCAACCTGCATGTGATGTTCACGATATCCTTTGTCCTAAAGTTGTAAGTATTCTAGTTGGTTGTAAAAGACTCAACATAAATCTTGGATGTTTAGACATCGGAAGATTGTCTTTATTTGAATATCTTCACTCCATTACAATGCGATTCGTCACAGCTTCCGGTAATGATTTTTATTCATGGGGGCAATTTCCAATATGGTAGCGCATCGCTAGTGGTCTACGAAGCAGAGCATTTTGTTCAGACGACTAATGTTATCTGCGTATTTATTCAATATCGACTCGGTGAGTATCCTCTTTCCATCAATGAAGTATACACCTAACTTTCATATGCAATTAGGTATACTTGGCTTTCTTGCAACAGGCACTGGTCCAAGTGATCTCAAAGGCAACTATGGTATACTTGATCAAAGATTGGCGATTGCTTGGATCAAATCAAATATTCATGCATTTGGAGGAAATCCAAATAAAGTCGTGTCGAATCATTTCTTTAACGAACATAATCTTTCTCGTTTTATAGATCACATTGTTTGGTCAAAGTGCAGGTGCTCAATCTACAGCATTGCACTATGTCACGAACGAGATGCAATCATTTTTTCAAGCTGCTATCATTGAAAGTTGTCCTATCACGATTCCATTCAGGTAAAATGAGATAATTTGTCTACAGCACTGCCAAATCAGTAATCAACTACTAGGACATACGCAGAATACGTCACTCCCACTGTTCTTCTTGCTGAAAAACTAAATTGTACCATTGGTGATATCGCATGTTTTCGTGCGTCTTCGTATAAAGATATTGCTGCAGCTCAAGCTATAATTAATACCATGAGCACATCATCACAATTCCTACAGTTCTTCGAACCATGGGTTCCTGTTATTGACAGTTTAATAGTACGCGGTCAACTCATCGAAATTATTTCAAATATATCTTTCCCATGTAAGCCATTGATCATTGGTACAATGACCGAAGAAGCTTTAAGTTATATCTACGACGCATTTCTACAACCGATACCACCTTCCCAATATTCCCTAGTCGGTACGAAACTATTCGGTAGCAAATTTCCTGAAGTTGTTAAACGCTATCCAGCACAAGGGCTTTATGATCAGCGTCCACTCTTGAGTCGACTCGCCACTCAATGGGTATTTGCTTGTCCAACGCGTATCTTTGCTCGTAAAGTAGCTGCCTATTCATACGTATTCGGTTATCCCCTTGATACTAGAGGATTAATAAATGCAGGAGTTTGCAATGGTCGTGCGTGTCATGGTTATGAATTGGTATATTTATTTCAAGCGTTTTGGGTTAATTTTACTAATGCCGATCGATACGTGTCTCGAACATTAGCTACCTATTGGACAAATTATGCCAAAAGTAAAAATCCAAATCGGCCAGCAAATGTTCCTTTGAAATGGCCAAAATTAACTAGTGGATGTGAGGATTATTTGTACTTTCAAGATCCAGTTCGAATTGAAAAAAACTATTTGAAGAATGAATGTGACTTTTGGGATACAATTGGTTATTAACCCTTTAAGGACGGAATTTTTCTTTTAATCGAAATAACATTTTTCAACCTTTTTATTTCATTTTAATTCAAAATAGCTACATAAATATTTTATGATAATAAAAAGAACAACTTTTTTCATCTCTTAAACAAAATGGCAATTTGCAAGTAAAGTATTCGATGTTGGATCAAAAATCTGCTTCCTTGATGTTACAATAAGCACATATTCTTCTGTTTCCTTTCACAGGCAAATGCATTTCATTACCAAAATTAAAGACAGTTTTTGGTGATGCTAGTTTAGACTTCTTTTCACAAGTAGGTCTTCCACGACTTATTCGTTCATTGTCAGAGCACAGAGACTTTACCATTGAAGTCATGTAGTTGAAGTATGTAAATTTATCTCGAGCTAACTGATTATAACAAATGAATCAGTTGAAAATAAATGCATTCAGAAAATAAATAAATATTTGCAACCAGTTTCTTTTAGACTTGCGATCGAAATTGTAGCACGAAGTTCTTTGGCTGAGCCGATCAAATTCATGTGAAAACTGATTGTAATCTTTTACTGCTTTTAGATAGTCAATTGTAATATGTTGATCATTTCTCAACCGACGGGAAATCGGAACAATTTCGTTGTCTTTATGATAATTTAAAGTCAAAAGAACGTGTTTGGTGTCCATCTATATGAAGACAATGCTGTTCGATGTAATCATTGAGTTGTAATCTTCTTGTTCCATTTTATTTTTCTTGGCAAAATCCGACTGAATACCTGTCCAATCTGGTCTAATAGTTCCACAGGCTTTTATGTTTTGTAGCTTTAGTTTTTCTAATTATTTGAGAGAAATGAAAAAATTATCGAAATATAGATGTTTCTCTTGGAAATTATGACCAGAGATAAGATCGAAAACAACACGTTCACCCAAAGATGTTTCTTCCCCACTGGTTTCCTCTTTTCCTAAATAAATTTGATAGTTGAATAAATAACCAGTGATTGGATCACATAAGCACCAAACTTTATAATCTGTTTTTATTGGTTTTAGAGGCAAATATTGCTTGAGACTTGATCTTTCCTTGAATTTTATCATACTTTCGTCGATTGTGTCATAGCAGCCAAAATTATATTTTTTTTAGAAATTTCTCCATAAAATTTCAGTAAAAGTCTTAACTTTGTAAATTTTACTGTGGTTTTTAGATTCTCATTTTGGTCCAATGAGTTATCAGCCAAATGTAAATAATAAAAAATTGAAGAAAACGATCTCATGACATGATCGAAGAAATAAATGTATTATGGAACACCATATCTTCACTTCGATAAAGGCTTATATTTGGCAAGTTATTGATACCCATTAGAATAATTAATCCGAGAAATGATTCAGTATCTTTTTTGCTCACGTCCTTCCAGTTCCTGGTTGTCTTTTGATTTTTACTTTGTTTCTTTCCTTTTCCATAAATGTTTGTTTGATCAGTAATCATATTTAAAATTTCTTCAGTAAAAAAAGGTTCTACAGACTGAAACTAGAATTCGCTCTTTCAGAGAGATTGAGGCAAAGTGGCCATCGGTGATGTGACTTCCATTCATTGAATTCAGCTAGTTATCGACTAGTTCATCATAATCGAAATCGAAGTCACTCTCGCTGGTATCATCACTGGCATATAAAGGTGTGGATGTGGGTGAATCAAAATAAAATTCATACTGG